ACCAGTGTATTGAAAGGTAATGGTAAGAGACACAGAATGTAGGACATTGTGTTGGTAGGACCTTACAGTATTTTCCATCTAGGCTATCTCACCTTCCTTTCACCCACCTCCACCACCACCACCAAAAAAAAAATGTTTTTTCTAATGTAAATAATACAGAACTTTTTCTTCTGAATTTCCAAAGAAGAAGTAAGACATTTCTTAAGACTTTTTGTATCTCAGAATCTAGTCCAAATTACCTGGTTTAATGGCACTGCGATGGAAAAAAAAATGCAGTGAGTATACTCTAAAGGCAACATGTATTATTTAAATGATTATTAAATTTTTAACTCAATTCATTTTCAGTCTCTGTGTTCTTGTATGGAAGATTCATTTGGTCAATAGGATGCTGGCTAAGTCTCAATCTACTTTATACAGGCAAAGACCTATTTCCTACATGGACAAGAATGTAGAGGCACAAAAGAATCTTATCTATGTATGTTCTACACATTCTAGGCAATATTTTGTACTCATTAATTGGTTTATCTATCTTCTACACATTAGTATTTCCATTTAGACATTAATAAAATAAAATAAACTGAGGGAATGAAAGATCAAGAGAAATGCCCAGAGTCACATAGTCAGTAAGCCACAGAGCCAGGATTCCAAGCTAAGACCCTTCTTATTCTCTCTACAACTCCATATATCCTTGACTGAGACACATCACCATGATTTAGGTAGCATAACTTTTCATATGTGCACAGAGCCCTCATAAAAGTTATAACCAGAGGCAGAGATAACCTTCCATTTTCTGGATTTTTTCAATTCTTTTAAGAGGATCAAAACACCAGCCCCCAAAGAATAAGAAATAGCTAATGATGGTTGGGAATGTAGGACTGAAAATTCATTCTCCACTAAGCCTGGGTGTCCCAAGAGTGAAAGAGAGAAGAATTAAAGAAAAAAATAATTTCCTTAGTTTCAGAGGGGAGAAATGAGATTACAATGAAGTGACAACAGGGATGCTGTCCCCAGAGAATGAAGAAGATAAAATGGATCCTATTTAAAGTAAATCAGAATGCTTCCTCCAGAGTCCAGTCTGTCTGAAGACTCCGCAGTTAAAATAATTGTCGATCATATTACAGTGGTACTGCAGTGATATACTCTATATTTTGAAATGTGTCTTACTCTGATAAAAATATTCTTATACTTGTCTTTAAGTAAAATAAAATAAAGGAGGGATCTCTGCTGAATGTAGAGAAGCTTTATTATGATGGAGAAAGCCTAAAGGGCTTCTGTTTACCTACCTATCTGATGTGGTTGTTCTTCAGTGCCATTGAGTCAGTTCCACGTCATAGTGACCCTGTAGAGGATTCCTAATGAGAAGCTGGTGGGTTTGAACTGCTGATTCTGAATTTAACAGCCCAGAGCTTACCCTACAGCACCACACCGGGATAGATGACCTCTAAAGTTTAATCCTACCTTGCCGCTCATTTTATCTTGGAGAGTTAGTGTCTTCTCTAAGTAAAGGGATTGATAGGTTTTTGTTTTATTTATTTTTTTGCTCTTTATTTTGTGGTGAATTTATACATTCTACAGGAATAAGCAAAAGAAATAAAACAACCTCAAGCAGTTATGAAAGGTAAGGAACTGTGAGAGAACAGATTTCTGTTCTTTCAGGCCACGCACTTGTGATATTTGTGTTATGGAAGCACTGGGTAACTAGACAGGCTATCAAGTTCCTCTATTCCAATGGAAACCAGTGGAGAATATATAGACGCTTCTCTGTATGAGAGTGCAACTGGTTCTTGCCCACCCTTCTCTACAACCTTGTTCAGTTGACTTTTATGCCCAATGTTACCAAAGGTATTGTGTTACTTTGTCCCATGTTTCAATTTAAGAAAAATCAAGTAATGCTTTGCTTCAAGATTTAGTACTTCTGTCCTTATATTTCACAGCCTTCTTAATTGTATATACTATATAATTATTTTCAATTTTTTTACATTTATAATAGCAAAATTATATTCTGAAACCATACTTTTCACAGACTTACATGTATTCAATGTTCAGTTTTTTAAGTACTATTTTTCTATTGGATTCTTCATTGGCTATATTTGATCATGAGTTACTTTAAAGAAGGGCTCCTGAATCTAATGCTTTCTGATTTCTTAGATCATCATTTCTGTCTGTTTATCATTCTGTGCTGAAGTGACAGCTTGTTGGGGCACAACATTGGTGGGGCCTTTTCTTAACACAGATCTTTCTAGATTTTGCACCCTTGTCTTTTTGTGTGAAGTAAATTGTGGAGAAATAAGAGGCTAGTATTTTTCTCCCCATAGGGATTCCATGACTGTTTCCTATAAAGGAGTAAATATTTTTTGCTTGAACATTGATGTTCAAACACCTCAGATGAATATAATTTGGTATAAATTGTTCTTTATTATTACTAAAAATTGATGACTAATATTTTGAAAATAAAAGGGATATTTAGGCTTCAAAAATAGTTATTCAATTTTTAAAAAGTCTTGTTTTAGCATTTACAAAGGGACCTGGTGTGGCATTGCAGAATAAGCACTGGACTAGTAACCTCAAGGTCAGAAGTTCACGCTGCTCTCAGAAACCCTACACAGGGTCACTATGAGTTGGAACCTACTCAATGGCACACAACAACAATTCCTTGCCAGGAGTGAATTTATTTTCATTCGATACGTTGTTTGGACAATGGCAAGTGGTTTTTGTGGTAATTTCTGGTTCTGTTGTGATCTAGAAAACCTGGCTGTTGGGTGGGAGTTTGCATTGCCTTGGCTAGTTGTATCCCTTTTATCTGAGAAATGCATGATTTTCTTATACTCTGATTCTTAAAATATTACAAGTACTATTGAAAATTCTCAGGATTTTAATGACTTTTTAAAAAAAAATTAGGTAGATGCTGATTCTGGTTAGTTATGTTGGGATTGGAACCATGCTAAATTGCATGGGACACTCCTTTTGTTTTTCCTTGGTCATCAATTTTAGCATTCCCCATACCCTACAGGGATTCAAATCTTTTCCTTGTGATTGTTAATTCCTTTTTCTGATATATAATCTTGTATATGTATTTCATTAATAGTGAGGATAAATATTCAGTGATTTTAATTAATTCTATCATATTTCTTCAGAAGTTATGTCTACAGAGTGTTGCAGACCGCAATCACTGAGATGTTGAGGCCCTGTGTCATGGATGAAAAACCAACACAGTGGCACCACTCAGGCTTGCTAGCCAGGGACCCTGAGGGCCCAAGGAAGTAACCTCCGTAAGTCCTGGGTTCATTGGCTTTTACGAACTCACTATTGGGCTAGCTCTGTGTAATTTCCTTTAGTCCTATTATTTCATTCTATGCTTTTAACTCCAGTAATTGTAGCTTCTGAGAAAATGGTTTATTATGTGCCTCTCTTAATGTCTCCACTGTGTTGGCAGTGCTTAAGGTTCTGGGAACAAATCTCTCTGAGGAACAAACTCTGGCCACCTGGCAAACATGGCTTTTCTTTATCAGATTATTCAGTTATGTTTGATATTAACTTAATACATGAGCCCTTGATACCCATGGACAAATATTAAAACAAAAACTTCTTCTAAAGCCGAGGCCTAAAAGTTCCTAGGGCAAGTTTGCTGGGAGACGCTGGAGAAAAATTCCCCTAAGGAATTCACCCAAAGTAGATTGGCGGCTTCCAGGGTTTTGTCCAAAGAATAATAGTGTCAGCCTTCTCAGTTCGTCCCCAGGTGCAGACCATTAAGCTAGGCATCCTTCTTCCTCCTACAAGCCTTGGCCGGCCAGGCAGCCGAAACAGCTGGACTCCTTTCAGACCTTTTGAATCCTTTACTCACTGAAGATTAGGTGATATAGGTATGTTAATTAGCCTTGAGAAACCTCGAGTTGCTGTCTTGGGATTCGAACCTAGAAAGTACTATATAACAATTTGCTTGAATTTCTAGAAAATTAAGGATGTTAGATTATCAAGACAATATGTGATATATGTTTTAGAATTTGATTCCTGTAAATCATTGTGTCCTGTTTTGAACGATTAATCATATTTCACTTCTGTACCCTGTCTTAATAAACCCCGCCTTCCTTTGTGTAAATCTCCTCCCTGAAATAAAAAGGAGGCGCAGACTGAAGCCCGCATGCTATACTGCCTACAGGGCTGGCTGTGCATTACTGCCTGCAGGGCTGGCTGTGTGTTACTGCCTGCAGGGCTGTGCATTTGCTGCCTGCAGGGGCCACGATGCCTGTAGTCCAGGGTCTGCCCGCCAGTTTCACATCCACTCTAGTTTCGGGGTGTCTCTTTGTCTCTCTTGTTGCGTCTTTGTGTGTATTCTTTCTCTATTTCTGTCACCGCCAGATCTCCCTACTTCGTGAACCGAACCCCCATGTTGAGGCCGGTTCTCGACAACAGAGTATGATTACATATGAATTGTTTTTTCATAAATAATGAGTGAAATCATAAAGATATCGTTGCTAAATGTACTGAAGTTGGTTTCAACTCATAGTGACCCACTATAAGGTTTCCAAGGAGTAGCTGGTGGGTTTGAACTACTGACCTTGTGGCTCACAGTACAGTGCTGGTTCTAGAGCACCACATCATAAGGATATTTACCTGTAATTACTCAATAAATTGTTAACGACAGAAGGGATTTTAGTTTGTGATTAATGATTACTGTTAGTTGAACAAAAACAGTAGTAGTCATATGGAGGATTTTAGATTTGAAATTATGCTCAGTATACTTTCTATTATGCTTTCTATTATTCACTCTTCTGTTAGGGTACATATGTGTGGTGGTGGTGGTTGTTATGTGCCGTGGAGTCGGTTCCAACTTATAGTGACCCTGTACAGGGTTTCTGAGGCTGTAAATCTTTACAGGAGCAGAAAGCCTTATCTTTCTTCCATGGAACATGTGTAGGTGACAGTAATAAGACTTTTGGATCTTCATTACATGTTCATCCCACTAAATACCGTGTTTTGTTTTCTCTCTTACCCCAGAACAGATGACAAGATACATGGAAGAAGTTTTAGGTGGAAATCAAACAAAAGTGAAAGAATTTATTCTCTTAGGACTCTCCGACAACCCAGATCTACAAGTTATCCTTTTTGTGTTGTTTCTATTAATTTATATGGCTACTATGGTAGGCAATTTGGGGATGATCATGCTTATTAAGATAAATCCCTCTCTCCACACTCCTATGTACTTTTTCCTCAGCAGCCTTTCCTTTGTTGATGCATCCTACTCTTCTTCTGTGACTCCCAAGATGCTGGTGAACCTTGTGGCTGAGAATAAAGCCATTTCTTTCAATGGATGTGCTGCCCAGTTCTACTTCTTTGGCTCCTTCCTAGGGACTGAATGTTTCCTGTTAGCCATGATGGCATATGACCGATATGCAGCCATTTGGAACCCTCTGCTTTACCCAGTTCTCATGTCTGGGAGAATTTGCTTTCTACTAGTGGCTACCTCATTCCTTGCAGGCTTTGGGAATGCAGCCATCCACACAGGGATGACTTTTACATTGTCTTTCTGTGGATCTAATAGGATCAACCATTTCTACTGTGACACTCCACCACTGCTTAAAATCTCGTGTTCTGACACACACATCAATGGCATTGTGATCATGGCTTTCTCCAGTTTTAATGTCATCAGCTGCGTTATGATTGTTCTTATTTCCTACCTGTGCATCCTGATTGCCATCTTAAGGATGTCCTCAATAGAAGGCAGGTACAAAGCCTTCTCCACCTGTGCCTCCCACCTCACTGCTGTCACCATATTTTTTGGGACAATTCTTTTCATGTACTTGCGCCCAACATCTAGCTACTCAATGGAGCAGGACAAGGTTGTTTCAGTCTTTTATACAGTAGTGATCCCTATGCTGAACCCCCTCATCTATAGTTTGAAAAATAAGGATGTGAAAGAGGCTGTAAAGAAGGTCTTACAGAAAAGCATACTGTGAAGCTATGTTAAAATCACCCTGCTGTGTAGATCAACATCTGTCTTATTGATTATATTTCTAATGGCTTAAGATCTTTACTTGTATTAAGATAAATAATTTAAAATGGTCTTGCTTGCTCTCACAATATCTTAAACATTTGCACGTGAGTCTATCTAATGTAGGCAGAATCTGGTAGGATATTTAAACTTTTGGAATGGCAGTCCTGGGTCTGTTTTCTAACTTCTATATTTAGTTCGTGCTAACTTTAATATTAAGTCATATTCCAGGAAAACTGACTCAGAAAAAAAACAAAAAACAAAGCAAAACAAAAACACTTATATGCCCCAAGAATTATTGCAGAATGTTTCCAGGAACAATAAATGTAAGGTAGGAATGGAAGCAGGATTGGTAGAAGTTGAATACTGATAAAGTTGCAATGAGGACTCAGCCTAGTATTTGTCTGCTTTCACCAAGTATCCTGGAGCTCAGGGACTAGGGAAGAACTTCAGGTATGACTAAACCTGTGATAAAAAAGACCTTTGCATCCACAATGACTAGTTCTAGATGCAGGTTAACCACTTAGAAGGAACATAATCTTGGACAAGACAATTCCTTAAAGCACAAGGAAATTCCCAGAGAAGAAATCAGCTGTGAATCACTGACTGTCAATATATCTGGCAGATGAAGATATTTCTACCCCGAAAGGAACATCTGGGAGATACATTACAGCATCACTATAATGATCTCTGGTAGCGTAGTGGTTACGAATCGGGCTGCGAACCTTAAGGTCAGGGTTCGAAACTACCAGCCGCTCCGCGGGAGAAAGATGAGGCTTTCTACTCCCGTAAAGATTTACACCCTTGGAAACCCTGTACAGGGTCTCTATGGGTTGGAACCGACTCGATGGCACTTAACAACAACAACAACAATAATGAACAACAGTTATCCTATTCATATGAATGCTTGTTACATGCTCTCTAGTGTTCAGTCAGTTCCAATTCATGCACAACAGAACGAAACACTATCTGATCCTGTTCTAACCTCACAATCATTGTTATGCTTGAGCTCATTTCAGTTGCCTCTGTGCCAATTCATCTCATTGGGGGTATCCCTCTTTTCTGTTGACTTTCAAGTTTACCAAGTATAATGTCCTTTTCCAGGAGCTGGTCCCTCCAGATAATATGTCTTAAGTATGAGAGATGAAGTCTGCTCATCTTAGCTTCTAAGGAACATTCTGGTTGTATGTCTTCCAACACAGATTTCTTTGTTCTTGTGACAGTCCAGAGTACTTTTAACAGTATTCTCCAACACCATAGCTCAATGCATCATATGAATACTTTGTGGTTTTTAAGTGCTGTTGAATCAGTTTCAACTCAATGACCCTGTATAGGGTTACTGAGGAGAGGCTAGTGAGTTTGAACTGCCGATCTGTGGCTCAAACGGATCTTGCGGTCCAGTGCTTTATCCTTCAGCATTGCACCAGTACTCCAATATGGATGTTGTTGTTGTTAAGCACCATAGAATTGGTCCATACTCATAGCAACCTTGTATAGGGTTTTTGAGGAGTACTGCCAACGTTGGATTTCAAGACAACTTTGAATTCCAGCGCATCAACCCACAGCGCCATACCAGGACTCCATAATATGAATGCTAAGAGTACCAAATTGAAAAAACAAAAAAAAAGTTTCTATTAGATAGTATAGAAAATATGGGAATCAAAGCATACAGGTATATCTTGAGTTGGTTCAAACCCACCAGCCACTCTTGGAACCCTTATATAGGGTAACTATGGGTCAGAACCTACTCAATGTCACTTAACAACTGCAACAACAGTCACTGAACTTTAACTTTTATCTTCCCCTCACTCAAGGTTTTACATAGCTTTTAACAAACATTGAAAATGATCTATTATTCTTTGGAGTGGATGGAAGGTTATAAATATTAGAGAAATGGAATACAATCTTTCTTTGATGAGATGGCAAGGCAAATGGTGTCTAAGTAATTATTTGGAAATCAAGCAGATGTGTAGTCTCTGTTTTTTTTTTCCATTTCCACTATCCACTGCAGATCATGAGCGAGATAGTAGATCATGAAAAATTTGTTAAGAGAAACATCTCTAACCCCTGCAAACTTTGTTAAGAGATCAAAAAGGAGATGCTAATTCATCTCATCCACCCCATCTCCTATAAGCATGGGAGCAGTCCTCCCATTTCCTCATAGCTTCCACTTTCTCTCAAAGACACCCCAAACTACATCATGCCTGACACTCTTCACTTCATATTTTTCTTTCTAGTTATCTCCTATAATATCTACCATTTAATGTTTCTTACTAACCAATCTAAGGAAAATACATCTTTATCATTATTTATCACTACTTCCATATGCACTTATTGCCCAGTTGAGATTTGATGCCCTGATATAGTCATTCATGCACAATCACACTCAACCTATAGTTCCAATTTCCCTCCATTCTACCAACTTGACTAAACTGTAACTCATGTAAATTTGTCTCTTCACTCTGGTTCTCCACTTCAGATGCTTAATGTAATTAAAGGAAACCCTCAGCAATCCATTCTCTGTTCCTGACTTTTTCTGTTGTTAAGTGCTGTTGAGTTGGTTCTGACTCATAGTGACCTCTCACAGGGTTTCTAAGGAGAGACTGGTGGGTTTGAACTGGCAATCTTTTGAATAGCAGTTCAGTCAGTGCTTATCCTACAGCAGCACTATTATTTCATATTCCATCCTTCCAAGTATAAACAATTTGATAAGATTGCCCTGATATTATCTATGTATACATTGTTGTTGTTGTTAAGTAATGTCGAGTCAATTTTGACCCATAGTGACCCTGTATAGGGTTTATGAGGAATAGCTGGTGAGCTTGAACTGCCGACCTTGACGTTCAAACAGCTTGGCAGTCTGGTGCATTACATAACCCACAGCACCACACCAGGACACCATGTTGTTGTTGTTGGGTGCCATCGAGTCAGTACCAACCCATAGTGACCTTATGCACAGCAGAATGAAACACTGCCCAATCCTGGGCCAACCTCACTACTGTTGCCACGCTTGAGTCCATCGATGCTGCCACTTGGCCAGTCCATCTCGTTGGGGATCTTCCTCTTTTTCTCTGACCCTCCACCTTACCACACATGATATCCTTCTCCAGTGTTTCTGAGTTATGGTGTTGGAGGAGAATATTGAAAGTGCCATAGGCTGCCAAAAGAACCAGTAGATCCGTTTTGGAAGAAGTACAGCCAGAGTGCTCCTTGGAGGCCCAGATGACCCAGCTTTGTCTCTCATACTTTGGACATGTTGTCAAGAGGGACCAGTTGCTGGAGAAGGACACCATAGGCCCCATCATACTGGTAATGTTTAAAATGAGCTCCTACACATATTTAAAGCTTTCCAAAGATCCTACTTTTCAAATTATGCATCTATTCTCCACAAGCATTAGTTTCTCAACTCAAGTGCAATTTCCTTTCTCATTTACAGTTATGGTCTAGTATCACCTATTTTAATTTGTTTGATTGAAAGCACCATCCAGTCACCAATCTATTTCTCTGCTACCCTTTATAATTAATCTACTTAAAAGAAATATTCTAGTCATTGTCCCTACTTTCTTAAGGCAAATTCACTCTTGAACACACTTCAATTGTGTTTTTTTATACCAATAATTCATTCGTTGACTCTAAAGAACACAGAAGATTTACACACACCCACAACCAAAGACTGCTTTATTTTCTTACTTTCATTTGATAGCTCAGGATGATTTGCCACAATTAATGCTTCCATCAATCTTGAAACATACCCCTCTAGGCTTCTATATCACCATACCCTTCTGGTTGTTTTGTTCCATCCTCAACAGTCAGTTCTTCTCAGTCATCTTTTCTTGTTCTTTCTCCTTCTAATTATGAACCACTAAATCTTGGGACAAAAGGCTTACCTGCTAATATCTGATTTCCATCTATGCCTATTTCTCAGGTGATTTAAGAAGTTTATAATTATCTCCAAATTTGTATCTCTTGCGATAGCCTCCCACATGAGTTCTAAATTTATATATTGAATCTAAAATCTGACACTCTGGATTCATGAAAAGATTAATAAATTAACTTTCTTCACTTGGTTATGATGGTCAGATACCTATAAAATGATCATACATTTTGTCCAGCTAACACAAACTGCACCTAAGTACCACATTTACATGTCACTAGCTTAAAATATTTATTTTTGTATGTATTATTACAAATAGTCTTTATTGTTGTATTTTATTAGCTTACACTTGAAGTGAAAGAGGACAACATCTATAAAAATGTTGTTGGTGTTACTGAGGGCCATTGAGTTGGTTCTGACTCAAAGCAACGTTGTTTGTATAGGGTTTCCGAGGAGTGGCTGGTGGGTTTGAACCAGCAACCTTGTGTTTCACATTCCAGTGCTTAGCCTACATTTCCATATAAGAGTCTGAAAGTTATTAAGAGCACAGTGTTTATCCTGCAGTATTATACCAGGACTTTATTTATTCAGAATTAATTAAAAAGATATTTACTGAATAATTAATATGCAACATGATTTGGATATATAGCAGGAAAGAAAGCAAAATTCCTGATCTCCTGAAACTTATATTCAGGTGAAAACACATACACACACATTTGGTATATATATTATATATTTGGCATATTATACATAACAAATGTGTGTATATGTGTGTCATGCTCATATTGCCACATATAAATGTATATGCTTGTATTTGTGCTTCACAGGGAGATGGTGTTTTATGCTTTGTTTTTAAAATAAAGCAAAAAAAAACTAAACTAAAGTAGGTAATGGAAAAAGAGCAATGGAGCTTTGCTTTGCTTTCATAATGGAGTCAGAGAAGAACTTACATGACATAATTAAACTGGAGCAAGGCTGCAATGGAGAAATGGAATAATCCTATACTCATATAAATGGAATAATCCTATATTCACATAAGTGGAAAAAGAATACATCAGGCAGGCATAGTCACAGCAAATAAAAAGGTTTGA